ATAGGAGCTATATGCATGCTATATATTTGTTTGTTGTTTTTTAAACCCAAAAAGTAAAAAAAAAACTATCCAATTTTTTGTTTTCTGGTTCGGGGTTCTTCCTCCCTCCCTCCCTCTCTGGTTTCTTCTCGTGTAAATGACATATACTAAAAACTACATAGAATCTGGAAGAAGAATCGAGCCAACTTCGAGGGCGCTATAATCGCCCTACACACTTTGTATATTCTTCAATACGGATTCCTCCTTTTTTTTGCTTGAATTTTGTAACAAAAATCATCATCATCTCAAAATGTGGTCATCATCATCATCGACGACGGCAACGGCAATTGACTAGCAAAGAAATTATCCACCACCAACCAATATACCACACACAAAAAAAATCAACAAACATCGACGAGTGTTTTGCTTGGTTGTTTTGTTGTTGAGAGAGGATTATATATCCTGATATATTTCACACACCAAGAAAAACTTTATTTTTCGAAGCAAAATTCATCTATATAAATTTTCTATTATAATATTTGGCTTCTGTGTTTCTTCTTCTTTTTTTTTCTGGTTTGATGTTTTCATGTTTTTCTGGTGACTATATCTTCTTCATTCTTTTTCATGGTCTCTTTTTTTCGTTGTTTTCCAATCAACTATATGTTTCAACACTATATGGTAGTGTTTGTTTGGTAAATGATAATAATAATCATCGTTATATAAATGATGGTTTCAAACAACTAAACTAAACAAACGAAGAAGAATTTATTCAATTTTTTATTCACAATGGTAAATGCGGTAAAAACCTACTAATAAACTAATAAACATCTACCATTTTTTTTCATATATAATAACGATAATATTGTAACTTTTCTGGGGTATGTATGGTTATATATCCGTTGATTATATATGAATGAATGTCTGGTTGGTTGGTTGATGATGATGGTAACCATCAATTTCTTGATTATTATTATTATATAAGATGATGATGATAGTTTCTATGGTTATAATTGGGAGCCAAATGAAAAGTGTAATGAAAGTAAAATGTAAAAGAAATCTTTGTTTGTTTGTTTGTTTTTAGATATTTAGAGTTCTATATCAATCGCATCATCATCATCATCATCATCGATGATATATATCGTAAGGATTATATTTTTTTTTCTATATATTTTTTTATTGTGTTTACAAGTTACACACCCCCTGATATATCTGATTGTGGTTGGTTTTTTGGTTCTTTGACTGGTGATTATTATCATCAATTTTACCGCCATTATTTTTATGAATGATAATCATCAATCGTATTCAAAATCAACTAAATATTGATGGTCTTCATTATTATTTTCAAAGCAAAAAAACAAAATGCCCACCAAAAACTTGAAAAGAAATAAATGAATAATGTTAGTTTTGTAAATTTGTAAATGATGATGAATATTATAAATTTGCACACAAAATAACATTATATCTTAGCTATATTTTTTTTTGTTCCTGGATTCCCAAATATTGAATCCAATTTTATCCAATATTGAAACCGAATAGGTCACTATAGTGTTTTTCTTGTTGTGTATCTTAAAGAATATATATATAGTGTGTGTGTGTGTGTGTGTGTAAGTCAATGACAATTACAATATTGAATTGAATATCAATATTTATCTCTATATATAAATGATAATTGTAAACTATATCTCTATGGTTTGTGTTTTAACTAACCAAAAACATTATATTGTTTTTTTGGTTACAAAATTGTTTTTAAAAAAAATATCCATATTATTTAATAATCATATAGAAAGAATTACAGAATTCAAGAAACTTTCGATCTAGAGAGAGAGAGAAAGAGAGAAACCTGAATCGTCCAATATAGAATATTCGTTTTTCTTCAAGACAACAAACAAACCAATTCTATATCTTCAAAATTACCACCTTTTTTTCTCGTAAAGAAACAAATAGAAAAAAAACATTATATATTGTGTATGGTGGGAGTGTGTTTGAAGAAGAAAAAAATTTATGAATGAAAATATCATCGAACAACAACAACAACAACATGTGATATATACTGATAAATCATTCAATGTTTCGATGGTCTTTTTTTTATATATAAGAATGATCATCATCAATTGTCAGTTTTCTGGTGGCCAAAAGTGTAAAACAACACACACTATGTAATAACCAAAACAAAAAAAAAAAGTATAAGTCGACGAACTTTGAATTGAAAACAACCACTAATCATAATCATCATCATATAGTTACTATGTGTATGCGATCATCATCATCAGAAACTCTTATATATAACCGCAGAATAACGATGTTGATGATTGGTGAAATTTTACCACCATCATCATCAATATTATCATCATCGTTTTTTTATATATAGAATTTTTTGTATAGAGTTTTCTTTGTTGACAACAACAAGTGGTTGATAAATGAATGAATGGATATTATATAGGAAACTTTCTTTCCTACATCCACTGTAAATTATGCACGTGTTTTTTTGTTTTGGAGGTTTTTTCCCAATTGACCAACGGGGAAGAAACCTTCAAAACAAACGCACGTGTTTGATGTTTATTTGACCATGTTTTTTTCGTCCATTTCAAACAGAAAATTAGTCATAATTTCTACCTCGATATCATCATCATCATCATTATCTGATCAGATCAGTCAATTCCATGTTCATCAATTCGATTTGATTTGATTGTGCAATAAGATAAACAAACGTCAAACGAAAAAATGCAATCATTAAATCAATCACAATTAATTAGTACTAGTGGTGGTACTGTAACTGTAAGCGGTATTGGTATATTACCAACAGGTACAACTATTACCGGTACTAGTATTGGTGGTCATCCAATTACATTACAAGCAACAAATCAACAACAACAACAACAACAACTTGGCCACATTAATCATCATTTAATTACAAATAATCAACATTCATTAAATCAACAACAACAACAACAACAACATCATCATTTAGGACAACCAACAAATATACAATTAATAATAGCAACAAAATCATTACCACAAGCAATACAAACAGCTACTATTAAACAACAACAACAACAACATCAACAACAACAACAACAACAACAACAACATGATAATATTATAACAATACCTGTATCAGTATCAACAACATCATCATTATCTGGTCATTTAAAACAAGAAATGATTACATTACCTGTTATGGCAACAACAGCAACAACAACAGGACAACATCCAATGCAAGGACAATGTCCAACAACAATAACCGGTACAAATATTGGTACTATTGGTAATATTGGTGGTACTGGTGGTACAACCTGTATGCTGGTTACACCATCAACATTAAATCAAGTTGTTAATAATTTAAATATTCATCATCAACAACAAGCGATAACAACAACAACAACAAACCAACAACAACAACAACAACATCTTACAATTAATAATTCAAATCAATTAAATCTTCAATTGAATCAACAATTAAATCAACAACAACAACAACCACAACAACATCATCAAACAACAACAATAATAACATTACCACAATCGCAACAACAACAACAACAACAACAACAACAAAATCAACAACAACAACAACAAATTCAACAAATTCATACACAAACACTTAATCATACAAATGTGATACAAACAAATAATAATAATACAATAACCGTAACTGGCCAAACACCTGGATTAGATCTATTGGCTTGTCTTGAATGTGGTAAACATTTTGTTTCAGTTGCAAAATTAAAATCACATGAAAAAACACATTCAAAATCAAGGCCATTTAAATGTACTGATTGTAATAAATCATTTACAGGTAAGATTTATTTGGGAATCCTGAATTTGAAAATTCAATAATTTTCTTAATTTTTTCTTCCATAGTTCGATATTCATTGATATGTCATACACGAACACATACACGTGAACGTCCATATCAGGTATTTTTCAAATTCTGATATTTGATTAATTTGATTAATTAATTAATTGATGTTTTTTACCTTTTTTCAAATATAACAGTGTTCACAATGTGGATCACGTTTTACACAAGCATCAAGCCTAAAAACACATCAAATTTATAAACATACAAAAAATTTTCCATATGCTTGTAAACAATGTGATCGTGGTTTTATATCACCCGGTCAACGACATGAACATGTTGTACGTACACATTTAAAATTATCAAATTCAACCAGTGGACAACGATCATCATCATCATCATCGACGACAGGAAAAAATTCAAAATCTAAATCAACAAATAAAACTACAAAATCCAAACAACAACAATCCAAATCAACAACAACAACAACAATGAATGATACGAATCAGAATAATGGTCAAATTACAACAACAGCAACAACAACAACAATAGTACCGACAACAACAATATTTGTTTCATCGGAAGCATCAACAACAACAACAACAACAATACCAACAACAACAGCAACCACAATGGTCGAAATAGCCAATGATGATGATGATGATGATGATGGAGATGATCATCATTCTGGTCAAATTTTACAACAAATTGATGATGATGATGAAGATGATGATGATAATATACATCATCATCATGGTACAATACAGGTAACATCAACAACAGCGCCACCTATATCAGCTTCCAATACAGTAACATTAGTTAATGCAACAATATTACAACAACAAGATGATGATGATGATGATGATGATGATCAACAACAACAACATCAACATCAACATCAACAATCAGATCAAACATCAACAACAACAATCGATACTGATCAATTACCACCTGGTTCAACAATAACATTAGCTATACAAACAATTAGTTCATCACAAGATTCAGATGATTCATTAAATGGACCATCAATGTCATCAGCTGCATGTCAAACTGCATTATCATTACCTCCATTACTCTAATCTAGTCTACTAATTACAATTATTTTACCGAATAAGCCACCATAATCATTGATTGATTGATTTTTCCAAAATTTGAATTAAAACACAAGACACACACACACAGACAAACATGCATGCTACTTAATTTATCATCAACATTTCATCTCATCATTATTATTATCTAAGTCATTCTCGAAGTATTTCTCCCCACCATTATTTATTCAAATTAGCCATTTTGTTTCCTTTTGTGTGTGTGTGTGTGTTCATCATTGACGATTTTTGGCCAAGAATTTTTGGAAGAAAAAAAACCGCCGATTTTTAATTTTCATTTCATCGATTTTTCCCGTTTGTTTCCAAGAATTTTTCCTCTTTTAAATTCACAACAAACACTTGTCAGAAAAAAAAGTATTTTTCATCATCACACACACCAAACACAGACAGACGCATTTCATTGACGCAATTCATATATTCATCTAATTTAATTTCATTAAGCAATCTCACATTATAATTGATTGATTGGTGATGGACAAACAAACAAACAAATATTGCAAAAGTTGTTGTATAAATAATCGATTGTTTCGTCCATCACCATCATCGAATTTTTCAGAATTCATTCGATTTCCTCCTCCCCGGTCATATTCGTGTGTGATGTGTATTCGGACTGTAATTTATTCATTTTTTTTTTGTAATTTTACTTTTTTTTTTATATTTTGTAAAATTCTTTTTATTTTGTTTTTGTTGTTTTTTTATTATTATTTTAAATTTTTACCTTGTTTTTTTCTTTTGTTGAATTCTTGTTTTGTTTTTTTTGTGATTTTTAAAATTTTAGTCGTCCATCACCGACACACTCGTCAAATGAATACTTGCCTGGTTACGTGCAACGTATAAATTTTTTCAACTTTGAACTTTTTCTCTCAATCTCAATCGTGTATCGTTCTCTCATTATATTCATCAATATTTATTTCAATTCTCTAATCACAAATCACAATAATCACACTAATCATAATGATAATAATTAAAACGAATGAATTTTTCAACAAAAAATAAAATTCTTTAATCTCTTCTTCGAAGGTTTCTTTCATTTTTTTTGTCGGTTCATCAAACTCGATTCAATCCTTTCCTTTTCGTTTTTTTCAATCAAATTCGTTAATCAAATCAAAAAATAATAACGATGATGATGGGAGCATAATGAGAACCGAAAAAATGTAATTAAAGTTTATGACCGATTAGCTATATAACCAAACGAACGAAAAAAATCACGATGGCCAAGATCAATCGCGATTCATAATGTTTGAATAATAATTGAAAATTGAAAAAAAAGAAAATTGAAAGTGATAGGGTGAAAGTACCCATTTTTTTCGTTTGTTTGTCTGGTTTCTCCCTTTTCGGCATCAATAATCAATCATATCAGGTTTTTTTCGTTTTATTATTCGAATGAATAAAAAACAAATTAGACACCTTCAAACATGATTTTGATAATAATGATGGATGAAATAAAAAATGAATGAAATATGCATCAAACAACGAAAAGAAAACATGTTTTTATATCAAACATATCGTGCATCAGAATAAATGAATTAAATCGATGATGTTTGATCTTTGATGTTGTTGTTTTTTGATGCCAATCTTAATTGAAATTAGCCAGCCAACATGACCATCATCATTATTATTATCAATCAACCAGAATAATAATAATAATAATAATAATAAAATTAAAATTGAATATTGAACCCGAATAAAGAAAAAATTTGTAAATTAGAGAGATCAAATGATATCAAGGTTTTTTCTCGAACTCGAATATAAAAATTAAAAGATTCGAAGATTCTTTTGATCTTTGATCTTGTCATAATTTTCTATTTTGCTTAAAAAAATTAATTTTTATTTGTTTGTTGATCATATCTTTCAATGGCAAATATTTTTTTTTTTTTGTAGATCAAATCTGTTTGATTAGCAAATTTGGGCATAATAAAAAAGAAACAAGGTTA